TTCATGGTGAGAACGATTTCTGAGTTTTCCCCCTATGATGAACCTAAAGGACGATACCTGGTCGAGAAACGGCCTGGAAAAGACGTAGTAAGGGACCGAAAGCCGGCAGAGACGACGTACATTCCCATAGGCGACCGAGCTCTCACGGTGTTGTAGAGGCTGTGAAGGTTGTACCTTTCGGGCCGGGACGCACACTCTGCACGCAGGCAGCTTACTGTAGCCAGCAGTAATGATGCGCACATGCTTTTTGATGCGACTTTTGTCGTTACTCACTCGTCCAACCCTAGTTTTACAACATTTTTGCAGGCTTATATTTCTCTGAATGCTTTCTTTGCCAGTTTGCATTATTCCGGGATATCATTTCCATTACTCGTCCAAAGCTAGACTCCCCGGAACTATCGTGAAATGTGCCTTTGAGGCGCAGCTCTTATCTGCTTTTTGATCCCAGTAGGTCTCGTGGAATCTACATCTTAAGCACAAGCCAGAAATAGGCGCATTTTTCGCAGCATCTGACGTATTGTGGCTCGAAGATGAAGATGAAGAACACATGTCTTCAGTGGAACTCGAACTGCCTAAGGTCGGTGAATTGGCGTGGTGTAGAGCTGCCATGTAGAATACTGAGCAAATAAAGAGAGTAAACTGGTATGTGAAGAGCCCTCTCAACTATAAGAACACGTAAAGGAGACATTGTGGTGTCAAACCCCCTAGTTAGGCAAAGGATTCTGATTAATTGTGGCAAGACTTCAAACGCAAAAAAGAGGTATAAGACTAATAACGACCGTACTTGAGTTCGGAGTAACGCCGCAAGTATCTCGTTTCCTCGAATGATTTCATCTCTATGCGGGCTTGTTCCGAGTCAGTGCGGCGAATTCGATTCCTGGAAATACGGATATGGAAAAACAACTAAAGGAATAGATAGCGAGTTCACATCTGCTTAGATCTCTAATTGAACTTCTCGGAATCATAGAAGAGAGTTTCCTTGAGTGTGTATATGGATTGACCTGGATGTGTGGAAAGATAATGGCGAGATATCTCAATCTTCTAGTTCTCTGCGGAGAATCGCTTCAATGCAACTTTCTAGCCTCCTTAGGTGATGGCTGATAATTGATATTAGTTTTTTTGGACCGTCCTTACTCTTTTATTCTGGTCCCACCCTAATATGGGAATAAGGCCTTCCTGCACGCACCACGCCTTCGTCTCTTGAGATGGATCTTCTAGGTAGTTCTAAAGTCTGCGAATGAGCCCATGTATCGGGTTGCTCGGCAAGTATTGGGAGTTCCGAAGATGTATATTGCAAGTATATATTCAATCTATTTCGAGGGAAAGACCGCAAATTTCATTGCATTTTTAGGATCTTTTTGATTATGGAGGTTCAGAAGAAGCCTTTCCGACACGTTCTGCTTTTATACTTAGCAATTATCAAAAATATCGCAAGACTTGCTCAACAATTATCGATCATATCGAAAAACTTGTACTAGCAAGAAAGTTAGATGTTTAGGGGCCAAACTCGTCAATGATGGGTTGGAACCTGATGATCCTTTCAACCGAGGTCTCTATTAAAGGAAGGTCATGCTACAGTTCGAAGGGGATTACAGTGAGTGGTACGTTCCGAGGTGGTTCCATGAACCTACAAGTTCTTGGCGGCGAAAACTAGAAGTTTTGAAAGCGGAAAATCCCGGAATAACCAGGAAAATAGCAAGAGATAGTCGAACAAAATGGAAAAAAATATTAATTAAAGCTCGTTCATATTGAGAACTTTTTTTTGAGACCCACAAACCTACTAATTAGTTTCCGAGCAACCCAATACATCCAGTGGTTTCATGCTTCTAGACAATTCCGGTGCTAATCAACCTATGTACCCCTGCTTGGTCGAAAGACATATCAAATTCTATCCCCGGATGATGCATATGATAGTTCACCACTAATACTAAACCACTTTCGCCTCAGATGATAAAAAGAAGGCAAGCTAAGACGAGAGGCGGTCAAAAGATTCGACACAGGTGAAGTTGTAGTTGCTCTATGAAGTCCGCGAAAATCATCTTAAATGGTGCCCATCAACTTACGTCAGATGAGGTACCAGTAAGTAGCGATTTCGACTTTCAAACTATTCACTTTTTGCTCTATTTGTCTCGCAATAGGGGAAAACAGCAATAAGGCTCGTGATGAAAACGGCAAACGTGCAATACGTGCAATAAAAAGGTAAACGTGACAAAGGGAAATCTGTCCCCGTCCCTATCCCTACAAATGCATGCGCTGTTCCCGCACCAATTCTTTTTGGTCAGGCCCTTGAAAAGACAGCTTCCCCTCTTAGGGCCTTGAACTGCAATCGGTCGCTATTACTGTAAGTTTTGGGCCACTGTGAATATTGCTTATGCGGACAATGGTGATGCTCAAAGGCCCTTGAAAGTCGAAGCGCCCACTGAACAAAATCCAGATATTGGCAATTCTGGAGGCGTTCGTACCACGCCTCCCTACTGGAAGGTTCCTCATAATGCGCTAGTCCCAGACATTCATATGTCTATGTATATCTTGTCAGTGTTAAAGCCTGGTGACATCAGAATTCGTCAGTAACTCTCTTGTGGGCGTCTCGTTTATTTTTCCCGAACTCCTATTTATCATCACCCCTCTCTACCCTGTATCTGGTGTCTTTTCTCCAAAGTATTTTCTCTTACCTGTAGGAAGGGCGGAATTCCAGCAACAGCCACGTTGCTCCGACCAATAAAGCAGCCAAGACGCAGAGAATACTGTAACAAAAGTTTTTTTTTGAAACGATTGAGACGGTATGATGAGATATTTGCTTTTTCATTTCTTCAATGGCAATAGAATGCGGATGCGCATAGAGCTAATGGTTCCCTCGGGGAAGACCCCGTGGCTAGATCCCATTTCTCATACAATGGATAATAAACCCATGTTCGATCAAAGCTGTAGGAACCTTCACCGGATGTCCCCTTCAAACCACATGCAATTACGAAGGTTTTGAATTTCTGTAATTATCTCAAGATAACGAGGTTTCTCAGAAAATAAAGAGCAAAAAGACTTTGAAGATTCCTTCCACGACATTCAGAACCCCTTCACTGTAACGGACACTTTGCTTCACCTAGCGCACCTGGATCCTCATCTGGCTCGTCCAATAAAATGCGGATGCTTGTCGATGCAAGCCATTGGTATACTCACCTGGACTACATACAACGCCAGATGGGCAAAAGATTAGGCATTGCGACCATCAAAAGCAACTAGAGAGCTAGAAACCTGCAGCGTACAGGCTTAAACGAGAATCTGCGAAAATCACTAAATAGGGTCAGCGATCTTTTAAAAGTGACTACCTTTTCATAGGAAGAGTGACAGGAAAAAAGACAAGCGCATTTCTCTCAACGTTTGCACCTACGCTCACTCAAGTGCATAGTAGGAGTAGACCTGTATCGATGAAACAAATGGGAGGCGAGTTGTTTGCATAACTTGTGGTTTTCTCTAGGTTTTTCTCAAATTAATAGTCTCACATTGAGCAGTGGCAATGAGGTCTGTCATGAGGAAAACAAGACACGTGAGATTCAATCCTACAGATAGGTTCCCGTAGATTACACATTCCTTGCCTCGAGAACTTGCTGTGCCACCTACTCTTGAGCACTATCATTTGCATGATGATAAGGTCTCCTCAAGCACTCACATAATAAAGGGATGCGCCACATCAATTACCTCATGGAAGCGGTCTTCGAATATTGGTGAGAGCACCTTAGACACCTCAAAGTACGACCTCCACTCTAACTCTAGATTTCCATGATCATCTCTACTTGGTATGTCCATGTGACATGGTGAAATGGACGTACACACACGCGCCTTACACGAGATCCGTCCATATGGGACTGAGGCCCGGTTTACATATCATTCTATCTGCATTACTGCTAGTTGCTTTATTATTTATTTATTTAATTATGAACCTAATTCGACGTACCAACCACATAGGCATATTGATCACAATAAAAGCAGTCACATTACTGTAAAGGGTAAGCGAAAAAGTGAGTAGCGAAAAAACATTGTAATTATTCCATCGAAAACATTTACCATATACGGAACCCGTTTCTTAATTTGTAGTAATTCGTAATACCAATAAAAGGGAACAGATGAAACCTTACCTAAACAGTAAAATATATAGCCGAAATCGATAAGATTCGCAGCACGTGATTTCGGTACATTCCGATAAGTACCATGCCCCACATACTCCCATACTGAAACAAGCGGATCCTTGTGGACACACAGGAATGGCACGGCACGGAACATTTGAGAATATACGAATCGCAAAGAGCACGGAAATGCATGCCGAAGCAGAAAATACGAGCGGCGCGAAATGCAGAATCGAGGAAAAATGCCTTTTGAGCATGAAAATTTCAAAGGCAGGCGGATAAGAAGAGAACGGCAGAGAGAAGGCGAGAAATTGGAAAATTGGATAGGAAATCGCTGTTTTGAATGTTGGACGAAAAATCAGCTGTGAGATAGTAAAGGATGCAATAGTGAATATCGAAACTCAAAAGGAAATCAGTGAGGTTCAGGAATCAGTAAGGCAAATAGCGCTAACGAGGGAAATCTGATGCCGATTTTCAGATTCAAAAATAATGAATGTTGAAAATAATCATGAGATATCTCGGCTTTCACTTTTTTGCCTTGTACCCTATGATCATTCAACTGCAGTGGTGCATGATCATAGAGTTCATCTTTAGTGCTGATACCCTCTCTCTCTTATTCCCTATTGAGGAGGTCTCACAATCAGGACGAAGTCTTGCGAGCGACTTCCTTAAGAAGGAATGAGCACGATATATGAAAAGTCGGATAGCACAGAATCAATCTCCTGTCATGCTTTCAAAGGAATCCTTTCCTCTCACCAAAAAACAATTTTATCTGGCTTCGTAGAGGATCATACAAGAAGAAAGCTTCTCATAGTATGAAGTAGATTTAGCTATTCATAAATCTCGTCCCGCGATAATAAGACAGATGAGTTAGACAGACAATCGTGAAATAGGGATGTCAAACGTGAAGAGTGCGACGAGGGATCCGGAGAAGATTTCGACAGAAGTCTTGGAACGAAGTCTCGAGACGAGTGTCTCGCCCGATAGGGAGACCACTCAACATTTACGAAAACTGCCTGAGATTCTGAGTTCTCTCTGCCACCCTGTTCTATGTGGGTGGTGACTACCCCAAGAACTAAGAAGCTGTAAAATGCGTTTCTTCGGTTGCACAGTGAAGTATCTCGTGGAAAAGTTACCTAGCCCTGACCGCTGGGTAGTAATATTCTTATAAGCAGAAGCATCATAGCACTGTGGATGAAAATCGTAAAATTTTACGTCGATGCACGTTTTCACCTCATCGTGTTTATTTGTCTAATAGAAAAAATTGGCCTTAAGTAAAGCTCACCCACCCACCCCCCACCCCCACTCCCATGGGAAGCTGTTTATGAGTGGTGGGTGCGGAACGGCGAGTACAATTGAATAACAAAGCTATCTGATGATAAGAAGTATGTAACAGGCGGTCGTTCGTGCTCTAAAGAGCGTAAGCCATGTGTCACCCGTTCCTCCACAGCCGCTAAGACGGATGTCAGCTGAATGAGCCGCTGCCGTGGCAGCTTTCGTCGTTTTCTCACTAGTGCCTTCAAAAATATGGTCTTCGTACGTCTAAAAGGGCACTGGATTATTGCACAGAGAATTCACTTGGCGGACGTGAGATACCACTTTTTTTATTGGAAACTTTTTTTTCCAGGCTCAAGTTCTTTTACATATACTCTTCAATAATTTATGTCCCCTGGAACGGGATGGGCCGTTTTTCCTCCTCTCAGATCTAGCTCCATGGACTCTTCCGTTGTTCAACCACAGGAATCCATTTAGCGACCACATGAGAATAGTTGGAAAAAGAAAAAAAACTTATAATTGCTGAAATCACAGGCGCCCAAACTGATGGGTAATCGTGATCTCGAATCATCCGGTTGTTGAGGAGCTCGATCATATTGTTACACTCCAAGTGGGATAAAAACTACCTAACAACACGTATTTTTGATCCTCGACTGAATGTTCCACTAGCACGACAAGGCACAGAAGGATGCGAGTGAATAGACAAGCTAAGTGTGACTTTCCGAGAGAATCGCAGAGCTTCTTGACACGATGGATCGAGGGGACTAGCAGAGTACAATCTGAGATTTTCAAGCGGCTTCAAGCGGCTTAATTGTCGTATATGGATGAACAAGTTTAGAGGTACGAAAAAGTGACTGTTTTTAGAGATCTTTCACCGGAGCTCATTTCTATCTCGTTGAGCTTGAAGAGAACCATCGAACAGAGGTCTCTCGATTGGAACTTGGACAAAAAAAACCTGGCCCCGACAAACATATCAGATTTCATATATCTCCTTGAACACTGAAATGCACTTCTAGAACGAGTCATTGCAGATCTGCCCTTCATATTCCTTTGGAAGAACTTTCGCGGTTCATTGCTCGATTCCGAGATTTGAGAGCTACAAGAAGACCTAGAGCAGGCACTAGATCGTGCTGAGCAGACAGTGGGTCCTACATGGATCGGATTGGGATGGCTGCTGCAATATGGATCCATAGTCCAAGATTAAAAATCTATTTCGGCTGTATGAGGTATTTACCCGATTTTTAGCGCTGGTATCCTCGACCCTGTCCCGGCTGAATATCCAGGCTTCATCATCAGTCAATTATAATAGCTTTTTTGGCTTCCGCAGAATTCCGTTCGACGTTAGAAAAAAGTAAAAGATTACCTCAAAGTAGGTAATCTGGAATAATGCCATAAAGCAAAAATCTCAGTTATTTACTACATTGCAATTCACTATGCTGAGAGACTTGTGCACTGAACGGGGGCATCCCATAAACCCAACTGTGATAGAACTCGATAGGGTCGCTCTCCAGGTATGGTGCTACAGCTCTAAGTGAAAGTCTGAAGAGGAGACAAGCAGAAGGATCGGTCGTGGTTAGCGAATTCATTGCACTTCAGCCTTTTCACTGAACCATTGCAGCTATTTCTGTCCAAAATGATAAAAAGACGGTTTTAAACTGTCAGTCAGTGTGCGACCATTACTGGTATCATCACTCAAGGTGGTGTGAAGGATATTCCAAAGCGAGTTCTGAAGGATAGCTTCAAAATTAGAAATAAATTAAATTGGAATTTGTAAACGAGAACAATTTGAAATCGAGAAAGGAAAAGTTCTATTTGACGATCACTTTCTGGAGACAGTGAAAAGGTTTCTTTTCATATAGTTAAGTATCCATTTCAAGTCGACCTCACCTGATCCTATTACATCACACTCCGCCTAACAGTTTTAATCGGAAAGTCATTGGATCGGAAACTTGGGTCAAAAAGTGTTAGATAAGCATAAATTTATATTGTACCAAACCTGTGTCTTGATCGGTGGTGATTCTTGGAAAAATGCCAAAATGGATGAAATCTAGTAACCTTCAATCAGCGGTGCTCTAGGACGTTGCAGGGAAAAATAGACTGGACAGTGGTAAGGTTCACGATGCTCTGCTAGATCGAATGCCGGTTCTTAGGCAAGAACAACGGAATACAACTTCACAAAGCAGAAATGAGGATGCTGAGATAGCTTGCACTTGGACGCGGCTGGGCTAATTCAGAAGTCATGAACATTCATACAAACAGCCCCTGTTTCAACTAAAAATGGAAGAGGGACGTTTGCGCCGGTAAGGAAATGTGCTGGGGAGCCACAGGATCACCTCAAAAGACGAGCAACGAGGCAGGAAGCTCAAAGGAAAAAACTGCGTGGAGCTCCGCTCCGAAGAAATGAGTGGGAGATATAATCATGAAGGAGCGCTTGCTAAAGCCAAGCTAATGGCAGAAGATGCCGTGAATGGAATAAAGTGACGAAAACTTGTAAGAACAGCGACTTAGCGGGATTAACAGAACAAAAAGAAAGACAATTGTTTATAAAAGATTCAAAATTCGCCTTTGTTGTGCCACCAGTGGATCATCCAGAGAATGGTGGTTCCTTTGGTATACTTGATTTCAATACTCTATTCATCATGGCAGAAACACAGAAGTAGGGGAAGAGTTATCAGCTATGATCAATGCGAAATGATGGGAACTGCTTGTTCTCCACAATAGTCACAGAAGGAGGCTATGATGGCCATGTTCACAGACGTTGGTTCACAAGAATGATGTCTGCGCTGGAACAATTATTCTGGGGATTCCTGGAAATTGGTTCCAACTCAGGGTAAGAAAGTATAATTCTTAATGAGCGATAATTTGATGCATGGGTTTTTGTCTTGGCAGCTCTGAGAGAATAACGCTTCGAACCAAAAAAAATCCAGAAAGAAAACTGCAACAGTGCATCACCGGTAGTGTCACTTTGCTGCTCCATTGTGTTTCGTGGATGGATTGAGTCTCTCAGTGCTTGTGGAATCGATGTGGGCCCGCTCTTGGGATTACAACCCTGCCTGTCATTCTTTAGTTCGAGTTGCAAGTGGCTGCGTATTAAGCTGAGATAGAGACAAACTTGCTCAAAAGCAGGCTCCAATACACGTCACCGTAGAGAGGATGCTTAGGCTTCTGAGGGAGTTATNNGGGAGCCCACAGGATCACCCCAAAAGACGAGCAACGAAACAGGAAGCTCAAAGGAAAAAACTGCGTGGAGCTCCGCTCCGAAGAAAAGAGTGAGAAATATAATCATGAAGGAGCGCTTTCTAAAACCAGGCTGATGGCAGAAGATGCCGTGAATGGAACAAAGTGACGAAAACTTATAAGAACAGCGACTTAGCGGGATTAACAGAACAAAAAGAAAGACATTTGTTTATAAAAGATTTAAAATTCGCCTTTGTTGTGCCACCAGTGGATCATCCAG